TTTTTTTTTTTTTGATTAGACAGTTCTTAGAGGTTGGTGCACATTGTTTCATGATGTTATGATTAAGCGACGCACACATCCATCTGTTTCTCCGGATTAGTTCTTAAATTCAGTCATTAGACCCGCTCGTAGCCAAGTCTCTGCTGCCCATAACAGCAAATTAGACCCCAGCACCATGTGCGGAGTGCCACACCGGCACACGCTCATTTGTCTAGCTGGCTGCCGGTGGGGAGGCCTTATTAAACACTGCACTCTCTTCACATAGCCCCAAAGTAATTTTTAATAGGCCCTTAATAAGAGTGCTTCTGAGAGCTTTGTGGTTTTAAGAAGCGAATTCCTTCAAATTAGAGCTGCTTTTGCTTTGGGAAGGACAAATGCTTGGGAAATGTTTAACTAAACAACTTCCTGTCTCACACGACATGAAATTTGTCAATTGTTTCTGAAGAAAGACTCTCACTATGCTGGCAGAGCTAGACATATGGCCACACCAGGCCCGTCGCAACAGTTATGACAACCAACAAAATAGGAAATCTCTGGTGTCAACAAAGCACCTAGAGTCAGTGGTTGAGTCTGTGCGTGGTGGAATCGGGTTAAAAGATGGGGAGCACAGATCTCCCTCCTAAACTGATTTATGTAAATAAGTCAAAAGGCTTCCTTTGGGTCATGCTACATTAAGGGTACTCGGCCTTAATGCAAGACTTTTTTGTAGTGGATTGTTTGCCATTTGGAGTGAAGTAGACTTAGAATTGAAGGGAGTGAAAGCAACCCCCCACCACCGTTTTGATTTGTGATTAGCAGATGTGCATTCTTTTAGAGCGGTGTTGATTTATGGCCAGTCAGAATCAGCACGTTTAGACCGAGTCCAGACCAGAGTCATTTACATCCTTATTATAGTCCCTTCCAGCCTCACACACACTGCCACAGAACAAAAACACATTCACTGAATTCTTCCAGCTACTGAGTGAATTTTGGAGAGAAAAAAAAGCGAAACATTGAATTTGGGGGCTGAGAATGTGACCAAGCCAAATACAATCTTATGCTGCTACTTGAATAATGTGACAAAACTGTGCTTTTTCTTTTCCCTGACACCGTCTGACATGAGATTGGTCACACCAGTGCTCACCGTCCAGTAGTTTGTTTGTGCGAGTTGAGATCTGAGAGAGAGTCATGGTCTCATCCTGTTACGTCTAGAATATCGAGCTCCTCCATTGAGCTCATGCAGTATTAGAGTCAAGGGAAAGATGTTCAGGGTCC